TAACACTCGCCGTAACGCGGAAAATTCAAACTATGTTTGGCACAAACTCATCCCCCACCGTGAAATATCTTATTTAACAAAAAAAAAAAATAAAAAATAAAAAACTCAGAGAATAGTGATTACCAGGCAAGGCACCAACGAGAGGAAAATTGCTTGGTTTACAATAAAGAAGAGCAAGAACGGCAAGAAGGTTTCTCTTAGCGGATTTAATAGTTGCCAGCCAAATATCACCTTTTCTTCTTTGGAACAATTATTAATACCTGATTGTTCAACATTAAGAGCCTCTTGGGTTTCAATCTGATAGATCTTATTTTCAATATGATTTTCTTCTTCCCTCACTTCTTTGAAACAGAAATCAACATTATTCGATATTTCAATATAAGCTTCTTTCGCAGCATCTTCGAAATAGGATTCTTTTTCCTGATGATCCTCTATTTCTTCTAGGAGTTCAATCTCTTCAGAATCTTGAAAAATTAGTTCTGAATATTCACCAAAGGAAGTAGCTGAATTATTTATCGTTGACGTTTCATTCTTCTTAATTAGATAATGAACTTCTGGATTCATCTGATCTTCAATGTTAGGACCTAGGATTTCACCTTCTTCCATGTACGTAGGTAGTGCATCAGTTGTTTCATTTATTGGATTCTCCTCTTCATTATCATTATGGATCTTTGTTTGAATTGTATCTTCTCTTATACTCGCAGTCCAGTCATCCATGTTTCTACACAAGCTTTCTGCGTTATCATCTGTTTTCTTTTCTAATCTTTCAAAGCTTTCGGTAATCTCCACTTGAAATTTCTTAAACATCTCATCCAACATGGATTGAATATTCTAAATTAAGGGTGACTCTGTGATTTTGTAACTGTAGTCACTTTTGTGGTCGATAGTGTTTTAAAGTTATCCATCTCGAAGTTACAGAAAAAATTTTAAAAAGTGAGTTTGAGAAGAAAAATATGTAACTAACAAAAATAAAATGCAAGATTTATAATAATAAACCCAATAAACTATTTAATAAATTTTTCATAAAGAAAACGTTACATTATACTTTAAAAATGAAGATATAAGAATAACCAACTCCATGCAAATATCCTAATGTTGAAAAATAAATCAGTCTATCTGAATCACGTAATGTAATTATTTTAAATGCCACACATAATGATTTAAGTACAAAATTAAGTAGTGATAAATGATCTATGATTCGTTATTATAAAGCAGAATAGTAAGTCCCCACAAGGGATGCCTTCAAAGATGCTATGTTTTGGAGGAAAATTCACGCGGGAAATTCAAACTATTTTGGCACAAATAAAGAGTAGCATTATGTTTTCCACATCCATATGTTAACCAGCGTTAACCCTTGTAGCGTCTTGATGCTTGAGATTTTTAATGATTTTTACTTTTCGAAGTGTTTATTTTATCTTTCAAGACATATTTTTTTATCGTTTGAGAAAATAGTGTCTTCCACCCTTTTGCAGACGTTCAAACTTTGCTTGATTTCCTCTTCGGGTGACCTTCTGGTTAAAGTTTCCATGAATGCAGGTATAATTAAGGTCTTAAACAAACTATTGTTTATCTGCCTCGTAAGTAAACACTTTCTCGTCTGTCTCATCAAACCAAAATAGCAACGGTTGGTCGCCATTATCGTCTGCTTATTTCTTTGGACATATCATTGGTAAATGTTGAGAGAAATTTGAGGCAAGTGAATTCTTGCATTCTTTTATTTTGAACTTGTGAGGGCCCCAATATAAGATTGACTTCTTCGATTGACCGTAGCTGCTATTGAATCCTCCTACTGCTTTCTCCAAACACAAAATAAACAGAAAACATGTCAAACGATCATCCTGTCATAGAACCTTATCAGTCTGAAACTCACTTGAGGCTGACTCTCCATGTATTCTGAGGACATTCTAGACAAAAAAGAAATAAGTAATACTAACTATAATATCATATATTATATAATATATAATATAATATAATAGTATAAAATCATTTATACTAATATAAAAGTAGTTTGGAAAAAAATAATTTTTGTCTAGGATATAAAAATCAGCGCCTGTGTCTACATCCTCACATGTTGGTATTCCCTATTTTAAAATAAAATATATTCCAAGTACCAGTATTTACAAAAATGTAATAACTACATTTTCATCTTTTAATTATGAAAATATTAAAATTCTCATATAAACCACTCCAACAAATATTATTAAATATAAAAGTTCTGAGATTCAATATCAAGGACTCCACTCAAGGCACAAAACATGTTCTTATTATTTAATTTTCCACTTCTAAATTCGTTATAAGCGGATGACTAATTGTAAATTTTCTATGAATACTTCTTGTTTACAGAATGATGAAAAAATAGATACTCATACCGTTTATTCAGGAGTGATGGCGAAACTTAAATAACGCACCACAAATAATTTTTATAACACCACTTTATTCAAAAGCGGTCGGCAATTGACGCACTTCACTCTATCACAAACCAAATAAGATTTCTGTTGTCCTTATTCTATGTATGATTTCATAATTTTATTCATGTAGTTCCATCTGTGAAAAATATGTTAGACAAATACGTTGTATGTTGTACAAATCTTTAATTTATATAAAAATAAAATCAGACAATCATTTACTTGATATAATTTCTTTTGCAAAGGCATGAGAAAAAAAAAGATAGGTTTAATAAAGAAAATTGTTTTTAATTTGATATTAATTCTAAGTAAATACCTCGATTGTTCACACTGTTAAATTATTTAAATTAAATTTAAAATGTTTTTTTTTTTAAACAGATTCAGAAAAATTTCATAGAATTGGCTTAAATATTTTGATATTAAAAAATGGAAAAAAAATTAATTATTTTAATTTTTTTCAAGTTGCATAGTAAGAAACTAACGATATCAATATAACGAAGTGCTATAAAATCTCCTTTGATTTATTACAATATGATATAAATAAACATAGGCATTTAAAAATGAGAGGATAGGCTTTGTTAAGTTGATTTTTGTGTTTAATTTATTTAGTCCTGTTATACGTTTTTCTAATTTTATATTTGTTACTTTTTCCTAATTTTGTTAAATAATAAATTAATTCCATACTAAATCTCTTTTAATTTCTTGTAGTATGCTTTTAAAGCATGGATCACGAAGGAGAATCAGAGAAATGTTACTTATGTGGGGTTACTTCATAAAGAAAATGATAAAAAAATAATAGGAATAGAGTTTTAAAAAATGATAAAACTTAAGTCTTAATTTAGAAAATAGATGGTATTGTACTGCTTCGAAATTCTGTAAAAATCATTTTCATGTTTATCATAAATAAAAGTGATTAGAAATATATACAGGTCATATAATTTATTTTCAATTATTTATTCACTTAAGTAATTTTTGTATTGATTTGTCTGATGTCGAGAAGTGACTTATTTAAATATAAATATTAAGGAAGTCGTAACATAAAACTTACAAAATATAATATTGTTAGAATTTAACGAACTGCAAAGCGGACTAGGGACATTAAATTTCTATTATATTCATAAACAGAAAACTTTTGAAGAATAAATAATAAAACGGAATCTTTGTAATGTATAAACCAATACATCAATATTGTCTGTCAGTATTGTAAAAATGATTGATCGTAGTGAGGTTGGTTAGTTTGCTTTTTCCGTGTTGTACTAGTTATAAATTGTTCTCATCATTAATTTTGTGATACTAATAATAACTATGATTAATGTGCTTATTTTTCGGAGCTAATTGCTTTGATTTATTTTCATTCAGAAGTCATTAATTAATATGGTTTATTGCAAGTTGTATTTGTCGTATACAAATCTATCAGATTAAAAATATAATACCTAATTAAGCAATATTATTTTATTTATTTTTTATACAAGCACTACGTCAATGTTAGTGGCTACTAGAATCATTATAATTTACTTTTAATGTATTTAGAAAAATTTATCGATAAACCAAATTCTCGATAACACTCATAACGTAGAACAACTTTCTGTGATATCGAAATTCACGGAATCATTTATTTATAACTCCAGTGAAGATTGCATAAGAAATAACTCTTGCAATATTTAAGTTATGACACACATAACCGATGGGAATATATCGTGACTCATAATGCCCCCATTTTTTTAGTCCTACAGTTTCTATTACTTTTAAAGATTTTTTTTTTCTCTTAAATTACAATAAGCATAAATAAGATTAACGAACAAATTTTCATTTTTCAGTTACTAATTATACTGTTACGCGAGTATTTATTTTTATTATATTTAAATCATTTTATTTATGAAAACGTATTTTTAAAATACCACATATAATAAAAGTTGTCGGTCAAATAATTAGTCGTTTTAAGAATGAAAACTCAATGATAGTTCTGATACTGAAATATGTTATTTCTTTGAAATTTTAATGATGTTTAAAACAAAATTAATATCTTTTGACTAATGTCATTTCTATTGCCATTGTCAAAGAGCAATAACTCTCTGATGTTATGTGCCCAGCGTACTGTCAAAACAGCACTGCAAATATTGACATCGCTATCACGTTTGATTGATGGGCAATAGGGAAATATGTCAGAGACAGTCCACTATGTATCTTTCAAATAACTTATCTAAATTAAACAACCTAAATTTAGCAATAAGTATGCTAATAACAGCAAATTAAACTCTTTGTGAAGGCTTACGTAACTTTGCTCAGTGTTTTAAAATTAATTTTAGAAAGGTTTAACTGTATACGGTGTGAATGTACTCTCTGAACTATATTATAAGTATCCTTAAATGAGACAGATTGTAATAATATTTCTCAATAAATAAAATTTTAAAAATAAATAAAAAAAAAGAAAAATAAGAAAGGTTCAAGATTTTGTTTATTGATAAAATGAGGTTTTTATCAATGCATGTAAAAGGGAAGTAAAAACACGAAATATAAAAAGAAAAAAAGAAAACTTTTTATTTATAATTAATAATTTAATATTATATTAGAGGTTAAATAAAATAAACCTTCTTTAATTTATATAAACATTAATCCATTTATTAAGCAAAACAAAGTATATATTTATATTTATATAACACAAATAAAACTATGTACAAGGGTTGTCCTTTTCTATATTGGAAGTATCACTAGGTGTTTCTTCGGATCATGGATGTACCCTTTGAGGGTAAAGGTAAGGATAATAAGGTGCTAAGGAAGGTGTGAAGTAGGGGAGCGCTGGGGGGATGGGTTTCGAATAGGGGTGGTACCTGGCGGAGAGTGGAGATAGCGGAGGTTGGGGATACCTAAGGGGGTTTAATATTGACGAATCTGCCGTGTGAGTCCGCAGGTGGGTCAGGAGTTCTTCGGAGGAAGTAAACCGTTTTCCGCAGTAGGCGTCACCGGCGATCCAATTGCAGACATAAGGCCGGTACATCAGCGTCGCCAGGTACTTTTGGTGTTCGCACTGAGTGCAACCGGCTGGGCATGGTACGAGGCCGTGCATGGACTGGCATCCGCCGCAGTACGGATCCTTGCAGACTGGAACGAGGGCTTCGCCACCGCCGGGGGTCTTCACTCTGGCGTAGCTGAGGTAAGGCGGGTACATCATCGGTCGGAAGGCTGGGTTCGTATCTGGGCAGCATCCTGGAGGAAGCATAGGCGGCTTGAATACGCTATCTTTGGTCCCTTGCAGAACTTCCAGGCCGGACCTGATGATGGGGCTGGTATCCTTCTTCTCTTCCTTGGGAGAAGCACTCTTCCTCGGCGTCCGTCTCTTCTCGTCTTCACTGGGACTTTTCGATGAAGGTCGGGGGGTTTCGGACTTCTTGCTAAGGACATTAGCTTCGTACGGCTTGAAGGCTAGGCCTTTGTCCTGAGGTTTCGGTGGCGTTGCTGAAGCTCGTTCGGTCTTCTTAGGCTTGTCCAACGAAGGGAGAAGCGGCTTGGTGTTGGGTGAATCTGCGCCTATCTGGGAGCATGTCTGGGCAAGGAGAGCTAGAGGGCTTTTCTTGGCATCCAACTGTAAATAAAAAAAAGAAACATTATTAGATATATTATTTAAGTCCAGAAAATGAAATAAAGAACTAAAATTGTTAAAATAAAATAAATAAAGAATAATGATATGATATACAATATTAGTGGTCGGATAGAAAAACAGATTTGAATTGTCGATGAAAATTCAGTTAATTTGCAATGCTCCTTCCGTTAAAAGAGCAAAACTGCCAAACACTGTTGCAAAAATGTTTAAAGGAATCAGTGACTTAAAAAAATATAAGATAAATAATGTTATTTCACTAATTAAATTTTAGTGATTAATTAACATTTTATTGCAATGTTTATGTTTGAATTACAGCCACTCCGCTTTAGAAATACTGTACCTATATACTTTTTGAAATTATTATTGAAAATATGGTAAATTCCTAAGTGCAAATTAATCATTGTTTCTATTGGTTTTAAGTACACTGTACAGATATAGCTCCTTGAAATAAAATAATTTGTCAAATATTTTTACATAGAAGTGAAGTGAAGTACTGCCCTCGATAAGTGCGATAGTCTGCCTTACTACAGCTACTTAAAAAGCCTACCGTCAACAAAATATTCCTTGACCCTTCATAGTCATCACGCGTTAATTAAATAAACACAAATATAAATAATGGTATTCTTCTATTACACATATTTTTAGTTTTATTAGGTCGGTTTGAGATTTTTAAAAAAATCGAAGGTAGAAAAAATTATTCTTCACAAAATATACAACAAACGGAGGGGAAAATAGCACAAGGTCTTAAATGACAAGGCGACCGTAACTCTCGGACTTAATGTTCATATTTTATTCGATTTGCCACATCGCGGCTCTAACCAACACGGCACTGATGCGAGTCACATTTTATTCATTTCGTGTTCTGAAGAAAAGAGGAAAAAAAAAAGTATAAAAAATTAGAATTTACTATCGTGTCATGGCAAGAGCGCAATAAGCGGGAAAAAATAAAACAAAATTAACTGCCGCCATAAATCTATCCGACGTTAATGTTCTGGTGAATGTACCGCTTCGGTCGGTTCTAATGGTTCGAGGACAGATGCGAAATGGCCTATTGAAGGACGGAAAGAGAAAAAAATATATAAAGGACGGAGTAAAAGATGAGGACAGGAAGAGATGTGTCTTCACGGAAGATTAGACACATATTTGGACACGGTCCATGTCTTAGGTACCGACGGGAAAAAATCAAGAACCCCATAACATTTTTTTATAATCGGGAATATTTAAAAGAACGAAATAGTTTACGATTAGAATTTTAATTTTTGGTAATCCTTTCATAACCTTGATCTTTTCTGGCTGATAATTATTAAATTTAACCTCAACAGATAAAGTAAGTTTTGCGGTATTTTATCATATGAACCTTTGCCGTTGATATCATATGAATAAATATACGAATTTAAAACAAAAAAATTGTCAAAATTTACAGCTCAATATTTAAACACGACCTCGTACTCCGTTTTACAAAGAAAGGGAGAAATACAAGTAAATGTAGGTTAATGAGAAATCCATACAAAGCAGGCAGGCACGACTGCAGTGGCACGGAACTCGGCAAAGGGGCAGTAAATCAGAAGGACGGCAATAATTTTTGACATATTGGGGCCACTTTGTATGACATGACACATTGTAAAAATACAATATACAAAGTAACGGAATGATACAATAAGGCGCTGACAAACTTCCTATTAGAGAGACCAGAATTCAAGTCGGAAATAATAAATAAGCGGACAGGCAATACAAATTTTGTGAAGTCCATAACCATATAAAAATAAATAAAATTTTTTTTAATTTAGAAGTTACTGACTTACTCTTATATTTTGTTATGGTGCATCTGCAAAAGTCTGAATGAATCAGAATTATAGGTGGATCGTAAAGAGATATAGGATTGGAGTATTACAAACAAAATATTTTAATTATTGCTAGAACGTAAGCGAATATTTTTTTTTCTTTCCATTTTTGTTGGACGACTGATTCAGACTTTTTTTTTTTAAGAATATCTTGAGATTAAATATCGTTTTAACAAATTCTTCGGAATAGTGTACGCTGTGAAAAAAAGTTGGAATAATTTTCATATAAATCGATCAATATTTTTTTTTTTTGGTAAACCATTCCGTTGACCATGGTGAAGCAGTTTTGAAGAAGTTTAATAACTTTTGAAAATACATAATAAAATTATTAAGTGTTTGGAAATAAATTTAATTGATAAGGAAACTGATAAAGATTGTATTAGTTGCTATACTTACAGTGGTAGGAAGCGGAGAAAGATAGTCTGGCTGGAGATATTGGTGTCCGGCGGGGGAAGTCATTATACCGCTGGTCTCCAACACAACCATTGGTTTCAAATATCCTGTTTGGTCCGTAGACGGCACTCACGCTGTATATATAATCTAACACTGTATTTCCTGGGATAAGTGCACTAATCTCGAAACAACTGAACTGAGCACTGGTCAAGAGCGTAGAATTAGAACTGTTACCTCTCCCTACTGAGGTTGGCACTGATCTGAGCCGTCGGGAGAGCGACCGTGGGGAGCAGGGAGGGAGTTCCCCCACTCCTCGCCCTCTTCCCCATCCTCGTCCCCCTCCCCGCCCCCCAGCCTGTCGTCAGCTAATCGGCTCTACCTGCTAACTCCCCCACCCCTCCCCGCGCCTCCCTACTCCCTATCACACACGCTGACACCGCTCTCCTGAAATAGACTCGTCTCAACACATATGATTTATCGGCAACCTCCTCCTTAATATCTTCTGCTACTTTATACCTGTCTGTCGCTAGTTTTTCTTCTTTATGCCCTCTTGCACACTTGTGTATAAGAAATGCGTGTAGATATTTTTTTTAAAAAAATAACATATTACCTGTCCGACTTTTATTTCTCTTAAATTCATTTTGTGTTTTCCCATTCCGTGGTGTAAGAAGTGGATTGATTGTCGAAATATTTTTTCGTTTTATTTCCGCTACCAGTTATAATAATGTCCGGTGGTTATTAATGTTTTCCTAACCAGGTGGCTCCAACGGGTGAGGTGAGTTGGAAGAATAATAACTTTACGGTGAAATAAAAGAAAAGTTTTTACTTATGCCTTTACAACTGAACTCGCTGTAATAGTAACAATTAGTAGTCGAATAACGTTCAAGTCCATATTCAATAAAAATCCCATCGTTACTTACTGGTGTAGTGGTTATATAACGGATTTCATTTTAGAAATCTCCGCAAATTTTATTTAATGCTAATTTATTTTGCATCTAAGTCTAAATGCTTAAAAAAAATAAATATTTATAAATTATTTATACTTTTTAAGTCGTGTTATAATAGTTGTTACAACATTTATATCTTATAGGTATCCTCAATGGTTTCCATGTAAGTTAATCTATCTTCCTAATTAATAACTAACTTATCGTTAACTAATTTAATAGTAAATAATTTTAAATCTGTCGAATAAAAAGAAAATGTTTCAATTCTGAAGAATTAATATGTAACCACCATTTTTATAATAATACTTAATGTTTTGAAATTTTACCGACGGATACTTTGCACGCAATTGTAGATTTAACATTTAAAAAAAAAACCATTTAATAAACAAATATTTGAATTTTATAATTTTAAATAAAAAAAAATTTGACAACATCCTGCAATTTCTGGTTTTGTTTTTTAATTCTGTTTGCTTCTTATTATACTTGTTTATATATACATACATGATAACTTCGTAGATAAAAGTGCAAATTTTATAGTTTGTCAAAATACTTTTAAGGAAAGAAATATTTAAAATTTGATAAATTCTGTAATTTGACCATATCGAAGAGAACAAAAGTTATTTTTTACTAGTTCAAAATCGAAGATATTTTTCAATTAATATTTATAAAATGTTTTTGTATGTGATATATACATAAAACATGTCATTTACAATTAAGTGATTTACCATTATCAAATCTTGTTTGATTATAAAACCTTTATATTTTAAAATAAGAAACATTCCGACAAATGATACTCAAGCCATTTTATTCGAAGGTTTTATGAGTACATTTTAACTTTCGTTTAATTTTTTTTTTTTTTTTTTTAATGAATCATTTATATAAATTGTTATTTATTTGATTGTAAATAATGTCTGACTAAGCGGATCTTGTCAATAAATCATAATAATTTATTGTTGTTTTAAATCTTCTTCATTACTTCATATTTCCTGTTGTTGTCTTTCAGATCTTCTGTATAAAAATAATTGAATATATTTATGAGTAATAAAGTACGTTTTTTCTTGTTAACTTGTTCATTCTCCAATAAATATAATACTCGTAATATACGGAGCTGTTGACATTTAGGAGAATTCAACTTTCAGGAAGCCCATAAGACCCTATTAGGATGAAGATTTTTTTTATTTTTATTTGGAAAGTTGAAGTTTAAATGTCAACACTATATATCCTACAAGAGAAATCTGAGAGTGAGATAAATGTATGTTTATTGGATTGGTTGAGAAGGAACGCCATGACGATCCGTTTCCAATTCCAATCAGCCAATAAATAATTGTGTGACGTTTATTGCCGAATTTGATGGGTTTTTTTTTATTATTTATTTATTTTTGTGACTTTTTTTTTTTTAAATGTAATTCATCATATAAAAATTATTCCATTTCTCTCAAATGACGTGCTCATATAACAATCTAAGTAATGGATTAGATTTTTTATTTTTATCATTCAATTATAACTTAATTTTTAATCGGAACTTTTTCAAGCATCCAAGCAATTTCGGAATGTAATTATTTGATATATAACTTCAAATCCGACCTTATAGATTTTATAAAGGAAGTAGATGGTCCGGGGTTGCGGTCATAAATAGGCTAAATAGTGGTAAAACTATTTATTGAAAGCCGACGTTTCGACCCGACTTTGCAGGTTTTCTTCAGGGCTAGAACGGGCAAGATACAAAAAGATAGAGAATTGTGGCAGTTACATAATATTTAGACAAAATTTATAAACAATGTGAACAAGCTTATTAAAATTATAAACAATAATTACATTAAAATATGAACAAAGTAAGCTGAGTAACAAGATCCTAAACTGAAGTAGATAGATGCTAACAGTTGTTGAAGTGTAATATATAATAAATGCAAATGTAAATATACTTCTAGTTGGGTCGAAACGTCGGCTTTCAATAAAATAGTTTTACCACTATTTAGCCTATTTATGACCGCATTTCCTTCCTTTATAATGCAACGGTCAACTATTAAATATTCATAATAGATTTTATACTCGAACAAAAAATCATATATCAGGAAATATGGGCAGTTATCTAACCAACAATCAGGGTGGCTAAACAAAATGCTTGGAAGACTTCATATTTAATATGACTTTTACATGATTGCATTATAAGTTTTATTAACTTTATTGATTTTTATTAACATTTTCAGGTATACAGTAGCTCATAAATACTGTTCGTCATAACTGTAGATTTGTAAATCTATTTTATTATGACTGGCTACCTGAGATAACTGTTAAAACTGTTTCCTTAGAACTTGCAGATTTAGGAATGTTGCGAAATTATCTTTATCGATAGATATCGATTTTTTCCTTTCTATATCGCATCGAAAAAAGATTTTTTCCGTAATATCGAGAGGGAAAAGGGAATATCGGATTTCGATATTTTTTTTTTTTTTTCATTCACGTTATAAACTTAAATCAATTTAAGAAATCAATATTAAAGAAATATAAAATTAGCGTATCAATATTTTTTAAACCATTGAAATACTAATCCTTAAATATCTTCACTTATTATAAAATGGAGTAACAATACTATTTAAAAAAACAGCTCATGTCGTCAGCTTATTGCCAAGTCACTAAGTACGTTTTTGATAGTGTTAAACTTTTAAGTAAGTTTATGCTAATTTCTACCTTTTTAATTGAGAAAAAACAACGCTAGTTAACTAAAATGAAACAAACCCATATGTATCAATTCTCTTTATATATCAAATATAATTACTGCACTGCCCAGTTTTTTTATATTACCAAGGTTAAATTGATCAATATTCTTGGTGATTTAATGTGATTAAAAGTCACCTATTTAATTGCTTTTTTATAAATCGACGATATATTTTTAACGTAATTCGAAAATTTCGAAAGTGAAAGCGATACTATTCGATATTGACGATATCTTTTATTTGATATCATCCTAACATCGATATCAAAGCCATGTAACGATATCTATATGGAAGAGCTTTCGGACTTAAGTCTTCCATAACCGCACTCCGTTATGAAAATATAAATTTTTTTCAGTGTTTTTTTTTACTTTTAATCATTATTTCCAATAGGATTTTTTTTCTTTTCAAGGTAATTACCGTTATTAGGCTCCATAAAATTAAATCCTAGAGCTGCTATTTTTTCATCCGATTAAAAAAAAAATGTATTTTAGTGTATCATGTTTGTAATGCTCCTAATCTGAACAATTAGCAATTCATTAGATAATTAATAATTGTTTACGTTTTTTGTCAATAAATTCATTTTATAATTTCCATTAATCTAAATATAAAAAAAATTGTCAGATATTTTGAAGATAAGTATGTGAAATATTTGTGACCAAAACTTATGTTCACCAAATATGCGTCTAATTTATTCTAGCGTGTCATAAAAATGTTTTAGTTTATTCTATATATTTTTACCGAAACAGATAGTAACCATTTTGGTGGACAATGTTACTTGAGATCAAAGGTATAGCTAGAGAAATTTTCAGGTTTTAGCTACATTTTCTCATTGTTTCAGATACTGTTGACAGAATGAATAGTGTAGAAACCTTACCTTTCACCCACTTAAACACAATAATATTTTCCAAATTACCATATTTCTCAAAACCGAATCCGATTCAAATCCTCAAATCTTACAGGAGCGGTAGGTAACTCCTGCATGCCTCAGTGACAATGATTGAAGCCGAATTTCTCGAATGACCCAATTCAGATGATTAATACGAAGCTTTTGGAAGGAAAAAAAAAACTGCAAATAGCACTCTAACAAAATATTTAGACTGCCGATCAGTCACAGGCGTTGCGAAACAGTCTGCATTCCGAAAGGGAAGGGTTCTGAAGAATCTCGACATCCAACGCTGCCTGGCTTGGTGGTAATTATCCCACTTGAAACATGCCAAGAATTTCTCAAACAAAAGGAAAAGCGGCGTATATGATGGATGTGTCGGGATAAGCTCAGTTTCAGTCAAGGTTGGATTGAAATTATTTGTTTGTATAATGACTGTCATTATTGATTGTGTGAACATTGAACACAGTATCGCTTGAAATTAATGCGTATCTCATTGATATATGTCCAAGTATTATTGTTTATGATCTTGTTATGTTTGTCAACTTAGGTGATGTCAGATTGTTTAAAGGTTTTCTGTCTGTATGTCACACTCGATACTGGGTATGACACATCACATATTATTTAGTACGTAGTTGTTTTGGGATGTAGTGTCTAGATATTTCATCAGATTATCGATATGTCAACATCGCAGCGAAAAACATTTCATACATTTAGTATACAGCAAATATAGTAACTCTATATTTTTATAATTAACAATTCACGCTTGTATAATTCACACTGTGTGCCTCCG